GGCCACTTCAAGATACATGTTGCCGTTTGGTGTCGCTCAGAGCAACAAATGGCTCCCAAGCCTAGCCCCACCAGTGTGGCACGGATCACTCCCGATTTATCCTTAAATCGGGAGTGATCCTTGCCACACTAGTGGGGCTATCCCAAGCCGAGCTCAGCAGGAAAGCCGAAAAACACCACACACGTTGTTAGCCCCAATCGAGAAGTCAAGTCCCATTTGAAAAATCTCACCTTTTAGGTCGACTTTAATTACTCAACACAGAAATGCACACGTGAAATCCTTCTAAAATGGAACAAACGTGCAACCGGAAGTCCGGGTATACCATAATGCTGCATGATAAAAATGAAACTATTATTTAACATTGAAGTTGTTGACCTATAAACGAAATAACCACAGTAAAAATCAAACACAAATCAAACGGACCAAATGTATTAAATAATTTGGTTACCTTTTTGTCAGGGAGAACAGGAAATTGATGGCGTTGAGAGGAGCTCGACTGAATGGTAACTGGTGCAGTGACAACCCTAATGGCAAATGCAATACATTGAGTTGATGTGGGCTGAGTTGGACACCAAATGGGTCCTGTCACAAGAAAGCAGTGCATTGCACATGATAAGAGACGTCGGCATACTCATTGCACAGAGCATCCATTTTGTGTCCATCTTCTACAGATGTCTACACCAGTTTTTCATAGGGCCTACAGCTAATAGAGGGATCCCAATACGATGCTTTTAGCGTCGATCTGCGCACTTCCGCGTTTGAAAACGAGGTTGTACGTGTCAGCTTCAATTCTTAATACGATCAGACGATTAAAAGTAAGGAGTCAAGACACAAAATACATACAGGTATGTTAAATTCAGACTTTTCAGGCTGCAAATTTTTGTTGAAGAGCCTCTCAGAATGACTCGACGCGTGGTATCAAAGGAAAAAACAATAACAATTTACCGCAAACTAACGTACCTGCGACGGCCGTGTATCTTGTGCAGTGGGCGTGGTTTAAACTGGAGTGGTATCACACTTACGAACCGGATACTGCAGGTACTGTGTGGACTCTGCGGGCACGCGCGAGAAAGTTAAACACAGAGAGCCTCGGTTTCGATGCGGATATGCGCAGACGGGGCTAATGTGAAATCCATCTATTCAAGAACACCTGCCAGCGGACATGCAGTACACCAATCGGGGTATGTTTAATTAAACATTCTTGTCTGTCATTCTTACAAAAGAACACTTGGGGCCTACTATGGCACAGTGCACACTACTAAATTCTGCGTATCAGAAAAAAACTGATTTCTACAAAAAGGAAAGATAAATTACGTGATCAAAATTGCTACAGATCAATTTTCTTAAAACATTATTCATTATGTGCCAGTGTAATGATGCAATTCAAATAATTTAGTTTGGATGTTTAGCAGCTGTTCCAGCTGTATTCTGTCGGTATCATTCTACTAAATCAATAGTTTTTTTTTATTAATTTCTGCACTGCATTCAGACAACATTTAACTCAGAGATCTACGTGAAGAGTTCTTCGTCAAATTGATTCCAGAATTTGAGATTCCGCACAATGGGTAACGGCTGACTCCATCCAAATATCAACTGTAAGAAACGCCGAGTTTTTGTGGAAAGTACGATTAAATTATTTTCAAACGGCACTATGCTGATTGCACTTTTGACAAAGAAAGATACACCCGAATGACCTTACATGTACAACTATTTAGTCACTAATTCCACAAGTTTACCACGGACGTATATAAAAAACCTGGACTTGCAACTCCTTTGTATGAAATAGAAGCCAACCAGCGGCCATTTTACCGAGCCGAATACAAATGTGCGGGCTGGCTCGCTTGATGCCAGGGAGAATAAAGGCGGGCATTGCCGGGTAAGCTTTATATTCGGCTCGGTAAAATGGCCGCTAGTGGATTCAATGAACTCTATAAGCTGATTAAGGGCTTTGGTAGTCCAATTTCTTTTCTATATACGTCCGTGAAGGCTACCAAAACAACACTGAACATAACAATGCTTAGATAATCTGGACAGAATACGGGCAGAACTAGTTACTCCTCATGAGTATAGGCTCTTGCTCCCTCTGACTTCAGGGCAACAGTGCGGGGAACACTTTCAGTAGTCAGCAGGGAAATAGAAGTGTGTCTATCAAGGGCAAAGGACTTGACTGTCAATCACAACACGTCATCAAAATGGACTAATTTCGGTANATATTTGTATTTTAGGCACAGCATGTAATTAAAGCATTTACAATCCATGCGTTCATTGCTGCCAACTATTTACATATCCACAAATAGATCTCGTCAGATGGTCCAGTTAGGATCGGCAGATTTCTGCGATTTTCATTGCAGCTGCTCTGTGCTATTTCAAACCGTGCCGGGAAAAGCAGCCAGCTGTGTTGCGTCCAACAATAATAATGATGTGGGAATTGTGCACGTAACTCACTTTGTACAATACACGAGCATTAATGTCTTCAAGTCTGACATTCAAACACATCCACTCGTTTTCTGGGCAACAACTTTAAAAATGTAAATTTCACTTAATTTGTTCCTTGACATGAACATGTTCTCTTCAACACTTTCAAATCTGAATTTAAAAAAAGAGGAAAAGTCAGTAATATTTCAAATCGCTGCTAGTTACAGACATGATTGTAAGTGTTGCCAGTAAGTGTCTTGTAGCAGTACTTCACAGCCTGACATGGCCCCAGAATATGGCTTGCTAGAATTGAAACATGGTACCTTGCAAGAGAGAGTATTGTGTGAAAAAGTCATGCTTTGCTAGTGTCTTGGCTTCCGCGATGCAGACTAAAGATTACCCTATGAGTACGAGACTGTGTCCTGACTGGTTGGTAACGGCTTCACGTCTTACAAACCATAGTCTTTGTCAAACCGGACAGCCTGACAAAGAGAGACAAGAGTCATGTAATAGTAACGACAGGTGTTTACTTCACCGACGAGAGCTCTTGTATTTTGGAAACCCGGCCCAGCAGACTTACAAAAAGCAACTTGTGTGGTTGAGTTGTTCCAAGTTAGTTCTGGGAAAAATACCGCATCTATCACTACTTGTTTAAGAAAGGGTTATGACAACATCTGATGTAAACCTTTATGAAGTTAAAAAAAAATCACAAGACAGAAATGCTGGTGAAAGAAATATTCTTAGCTACAGGGCAGCGACATGAATACTTTACATTGGGTACCCTGACTACACATAGTGGTTGTTTGAGCTGACAAAGTTGTTGAGTCCTGACTGGTTGACTTCAGTCGTGAACTGGACCGCCCAGTCTACTTTCATTGGCCGGCACAGACCAAAGCAAGTGCACTCAAAGAAGTCAACAAAGTTGCGCAGGACACCCCGACTGGCAAGTGAGAGAAGAAAGTGGGTTCTTGTTAAACGTGTGGTATAATATGCCAACAGTGACTCAATCTCAGAAGTTTCAAAATGCTGCTATGCACAGGAAATTATATGCTGGGCAAAGACTGGTGACCAGCAAAAGTGCCATGCAAAAGTATATTGCTTGTGACTGGTTCACCGCTCATTGTTGAAAGGCAAAATAATTTGCTGAGGGATTGCTTTCTGTTCTACCCCGAGAAGAAGCTGGGTCCCAGTCGGTGAAATTCCGTTAACACGAAGAGTGTGTGTGATATAAATGACATTCAACGTCAAAGAGCAGTAGCAGAACCATATTTGGGTAGTTGTAACTTCCCCCCCCCTGGCTCTGAGACCCCCCTAAAAAAAGAAAAAAGGGGCAAAGAATAAACAAAAATGAGATATTAAAAATTTTTCAGTCTATCCCCCCCCCCCGAAAAAATTATTGGATCCGCCCCTTAATGGGGGTACGATTGGGCATCAGAAGGACTTACTTGAATGGGTTGTAGAGCTTCTCATCGCGGAAGGGACCTTTGGGTGCCTTGGGGTCTCGGAAGTAGTCATACCGGGTGTGGTTCATGCGTTCATTGGTGGTCACGCCCAAGTAAATTACCTGCAGGTGGGGAAGGTCAGGAAGTTGAGTTGGTTTAAAGGAGTGAGTTAGGGTGGGTGGGATTCTGGTGGGTTCCGGTGGGTTGAGGCTACAGTTGGGTTGGGTTGGGTGGGGTGGG